CATAATTAAAACTAGGCTTAGATATAAATGATTAAAAGGAATATATTACATTTATATGTTTTCCAAAACAACAGCATAATAATTTAAGAAGAGTGAGTTCATAAATTTTTGCTGAATTACTAACAACGTACAATTTCTGAAATTTTAGCAAATTTCGAAATTTAGGAAAAAATTGTCTAGACAAAAACGTTTCTTCGAGAAATTTAATAAAATACCATTAAATGTTATATTTAAACATTTATATGCAGACATCGTTAAAATAATAGTCGTTCAAAATATTTCTACATAGGCGAATAAAAAGGAAAACGAAAATGAAATTCGAATAAAATAAATACACGAGAGAATTTTTCGAAATATTCTGTCTTAAAATTTCTTAAAACACTCCTCTTCGCAAATCAAAAAAGAAATACTAATGTAATAATTTCTAGTTTCAAAAGTTCTTAATGGATGGGACATTTAAAATTCCTTAAAATATCGTAAAAAGGAGAACTAAGGGATTTCGAAATGTTTGTGGCTTTTAAAATATCTTTCAGTAACAAATACTCCGATTAAAATGATAGAAATTCATTTGTAATAATTTAAAATGTCTTTTCTGAAACTTTTCGCCTCATTTAATCCTATTTAACTGAAAAGTGTAAAAAAAAGGTAGCTTTTCCTTTTAAATCTTTACTAATGAGTAAGTTCTTATGGGTTATAAATAAACACTCATTTCAGATGTCTTTTTTAATTTTTATAAATAATATTCTCTGAAAGGTATTGTCACTTTTTTTATTACACTGGAATATGATCTATTATAGGATTTTTATCAAATAAATGGTTTTTGTGCTGTAATATTTGAAATTTTGTTTATTTTAATGGTAAAAGTGAAATAATTCTCTGATCTTTAGACTGGATCAATTTTTATAAATACACTGACGGAACCCCTCCCCCCCAAACAACAAGAAAAAACTACTGTACAGTAATAAAATTTGGGACAATGCAATTATCTAGTTAGTATGTTAAATTGATTAATTTTCAAGAGCGCAGGTTAATTTAAGCTGAAGAAAATGCAATTAAGATGGGAAATGCTGCTACATTAATAGCTGGTGTAACCTACAGAATTTTGAATGCAAGCCTGCATGCATTGTGTCATACAGGTGCCGAAAATCGCTTTGTGGTATTGAGTTCGATGCTTGTTGTATTTGTTGTGTTAATACTGGGATGGTCAATGCTGGCAGTGGAGGATGTTGGATAATGATATTCGGTAATTCCATGGGAGACATATCTGGTGATCTAGCAACATGTAAACACTCTGTAGAGCACGTCGTGTTACAACAGTGGTGTGAGGGTGAACTTTATCCTGTTGGAAAGCTTCCACTTGAATGCTGTTCTTAAATGGCTATAATATATGTAGAATTACCAAACTGACGTACGAATTTACAGTGTGTTTGGCATAGCCACGAAAGTGCTTCTGCTAAAGATAAATATATTCTGTTTATGAAATTCAAGTCCTATTTTTTATATCAAGAGATGAAGGTTATAAAAAGTTTTTTAATGAAATTGAGAGCTTAAAGCTAAGATTTAGATAGGGACTTTAAAAAATGTTTTGTCATACATTAACCTGAAATGACCTCTAAAGCGGAGAGGTAACGGCTAATGTATCATAAAGCTTAATATCAAGACCTTAAAATTTTTTTAAAAAATGCAAACATAGACATAATTAAAACATAAGCGCACAGAAATCATAGTTATTAGGAAACATTATTGAAAACATACTCGTACATATCGTGAATGGAAGACGGCTAAGTTCTATTTTGATAATATTTCACAGGAGGGAAGAAAACAGAAAAATAAATTGATGATGATTGAAGATATGAGTGAGGGATGTGTGATTAAAAAATCCCAGCTGCTGTTCTTATTGCATATATGTATACTATCTGTTATATATAAACAGAATTATATTTTAAAAAGAATGTTTAAAATGAGTTTTTGAAATAAATACATTAGTAAAAATGCTACTTAATTTTTAACAATTCAGTGCTTATTTCTTAAAACATAAATATCGGAAATAATGACTGGATAAATTTCAAACCTGTTATTAGAATTTAATTATTTAGCTATATAAAGTAGTCTAAATAAATCTTTTGGCGTCCAAAACATAAAAGTACTGATTTCATCAAATACGCAATAATTATATTTTGCATTTTATGTTCTATTTACAAAGCGATTATAATTGAAGTTCCAATATCAAAATTCTATAAAAATGGAACCTCTGGTCAGAATGACTTCTAGTTTGAGATGAATATACTACTTGAAAAGGAAGGAAACGTTTTAATATAAGAAAAAAAAAATCCAGCGTATCAATACAGAGCGCTGTAAGAGGCATAATGAAAGAGAATTCGGCTACAAGTAGTATTTTGAATCGAATTACGAAGGCTGCAGCATGAGTTGTCAAACTGTACAGTTCATATGCACGATTGTTTGGGTTTCGGATGGAAAAAATTATATTTCTCAGTCATTCAACTGCTGTTGCACTGTTAGTGTGAACCCCCCCCATGGTACATACCGGATGAAAAAATTGTTTTTTAATCGTCCTTGGGCCAAACTCCTCATAAAACGCAACAATGAAACCGCCAACGATTTGTTTTACAATGCCAAGCCAATTTCTTCTTCTACAAGTATATTCATATCAAATTTGAAGTTATTCTGAGCAGTGGTCCTTTTTTTTTTGCATCATTTTGAAAGTGGAACTTTATTTATAATCACTCTATATATTGATTAAAACATCGATACACTTTTGTATATTAAAATTTTCTGGATTAAACATATTGATACATTTTCGCATATTTAAAAATTGATGGTTGAAATTTGCCAAGATTTTTGCTGATTTCTTAAAAAAAAGACCATAGATCTTTTTTGAGAGATTCAAATATTAAAAACGTAAACACACAAATACATTTGTATTATCTTAAAAATAAAATTAGAAGCTATAGATGTCATATTAATGGCTACTTACATTGGATCCCCGAAACAATGAGCTGCAGTTAAAACCCATTGCGCATTAATGAGTGCACCTCCACAGACATGTCCATTCGGTTCAATGAGTTTCATTTGTAAGTCAGCCATCCAAGGCCAACTGCCCTGTAAAGCCTCTTGACCACCAACAATGCGATCATTATCTGAATAGGTTATTGGGTCTATGTCTGGTTTACCACAGTCTGTTGAATCTGCTATCAAACCTGTTAGAAGACAGAAACGAAAAATTTTTAAAGTTCGGAAATAAAAGTAATCAGCCAACATTTATCAAAATAGATCCTATTTTGTTGAAATATATTAAGAATAAATAAAAAGTATAAAGGGTAGCCGTTTAGCCCACGCAAATCTCGTCAAGCATGCTTTATTGGCGACAACACACAATATACACATAAAACAAGTTAATAAATGTTAGTTATCATTGGCTTTTCTTGCATTTTTGACAATTAGAAAGATCAACTTAAAGCCCTAGAAATTAACAGCGCTAGAAATTAACGCTAGAAATTAGCGCTAGAAATTAACAGCGAAAACAAAATACTCTTTCTCTTTTCTAGATAATCAGATTTGAAAAATTCGCAGCTCTCCTTTATGACTTTAGAATGATTGTGTTGTTGTAAACTAAATAAGATATGGATTTATCTAACAATATTCCCCCCCCCCTTATTTCTCAATAGCACATTAAGAATGCACTTTTGTCCATCCTTTGAATGATTGCTAATATGTGACGTATTCCATGTATATTACTAAATATTCCCAATATGTGAAGTTTTCACAGGAGTCATTTTTCAGCAATGGATTGACCAAGTCCAACATTGCACATATGTTGCTTTTTTTATGAGTTTAGCTCTGACTTGTAATAGCAATTGTAAATGGACATTATTTACTGTGGAGGAAAGTATTACAACAAATTCTGCCACTTCAAATAATAATAATAATAAATAATAATAATAATAAGTCCATGTTTAAGGAAAGAAACTATAATACCACTCTGATCCACCACATTTGGATCGGATCTTCTAATCATAATCCTTTATTGATGAAATAGTATAGCTATATATTTTTAGAGAAGTATATTCATAATAAGGTTATCTGCGTGTTTGTGTAACAGTGCGGAACTCAACTTATATGCTCTCAGTAAGCTTAATTTTTAATTAAAAAATTATAATAAAATAATAGTGTAATTTATCAAATAAACTTGAAAGTTATCCTAAATAACACAAATTATATATTATGCCACAAAGAAAAGTAGACGCTCACTTAATTTTGACAAATCATTTAATCAAACCGCCAAAGACTGTCATCTGTATTATTATTGTGTTCGAACAAATGCAGGAATGGTTTCCCCTATTGGTTGCATATTATGACATTTGACGATGTCATTTGATTTGACGAAAGTAGTCGAAGGTATAACGCATAAATACAACAAATTAACTTTGAAAATTAATTTGCTATTCTAAAAGAAATATCTTTCTTAATGGAAATTTCTTTGGTTGACAATCTACCGAAAAAGTTTTCAATTACTACTATATTTTTTTAGTTCACACTCTCTCTCTCTCTCTATATATATATGCACACACACACACACACACACACACACACACACACACACACACACACACACACACACACACACACACACACACACACACACACACACACACACACACACACACACACACACACACACACACACACACACACACATATATATATATATATATATATATATATATATATATATATATATATATATATCTCGTTTAAATCTTCTGTCGTTAATAAAATACTTTTAATAACGATTTTTATTCATCAATTCAAGTTCAAATATTTTTTTTAAAACTTGTAATAGATGACTAAATGACACTTGATGTTAATACAGTTTTTTTAAAAATACTAATTGATTAATTATATTTAATTAATAAATAAATAATTAAAAAAAACAAAAATTATATCCAACACCAAATATAAAAAGGAAAATTCATCGTTATGTCCCTGTCCAGTGCAGTGTGCATTGGACTTCTAATCCAAAGGTGGTGGGTTTGAGTCCCACCTGGGATGGCCTCATTTCTTAGAATGTATGTTTCTTACTATAGTATTTTATACGAATAATTAAATTGAATTAATGAATAAATAGTAACAAAACAAAAATAATAGTCCAACACCCTGTATGGAAAGGAAAATGGAAACTTGCAAGGAAAATCGCTTTCTATTTTGCCACTTAATATTATGATTCTGTTATATGTATATACATATTTATATTAATTGTAATTATTTAATGAAAAGTAGCTAAAGTAAAATTTTCTTTATTGACCTAAGTAGGAATTGACTAAATCTTTTTTATATTACTTTTTTTAATAAAATGTTTAAACATGCGGGTGTTACTATTCATATATAAACAACTATATGGTATTATATGGAAAAAAGTTATCAATCGTAACCTCCTAATGCAAAAAAAAAATCCTCTTTGACATGGATATTAGGAGAAAAATAATTAAAACTAATTAATTTTAAAATTTAATATTGCCACAAAGGGGTTGCATTTTCGAAGAAATTGGAAAAAGACTTGTTTTTGATTCGATTATTTTAGACTCAAAATTATTCTTTTTGTACAATATATAAAACCAAAAGTGAGATTACTAATTATCTAAATAAAATTGTGAGATTAAAAAATTGAGATTACTAATACTGAGTAATACAATGAAACATTGCTACGTTTCCCAACCGAGCTATCTTTCCTACACCGTTAAATGAGTCCGATCCAAGCTATACTCTATCTTCCACTTTAGCGTAAAGTGTAATCCGGTAGTGAGTTTTCTTTTTTAAAAAAAAAAAATTAAAGAAGCTGTTAAACGAAGCTGATGTTTATTTAGTGTATTTGTGGGTCCTTTCATCGCAATAAGTGTTAAAAAAGTACTAAAATATTTCTGTTTCTCCTTTTAACGAAGGATTACTTTGACCTTTTAACATTAACACAGCTTACATATCTAAACTTCATTTCCCCTTATGGAAGTACTCAAATTAATTTTTAATTTTATTTTTTCCCTATGTATAAACCATAGATATTTACCACGCAGGTCAGTGCATCTCAAACTTTCAATATTTGCGACCCATTTTTTAATAATTTTCATCGCCCCCCTTAAACAATAACAATGTATTGAATGCAATAATAATGTTCCTTATAAACACTACTAATTATCAAGATAAGTATTTAATTCTGTATATGTTACATTTAAGTAATAAATATTTAAGAAAAAGTTCCTTTAATGTAACAGAATAAGTGTTAGTATAGTAGTTAATAGGATAAGTATATGTAGTTAGTATTGATCAATTAATTACCAACTGTCTTGGGGCACATTTATAAGTATTATATGCAGTCGGACCCCTATTTAACGAATTTTTCTCTTCTCACGATTAAAATGAAAGGGAAAAAAACACCTATTTAATGAATTATTCCAACCGCTGAAAAAGATTTTTATTACTAGTTTGTGTTGAAAAAAATTGGATTTTTTTTAAAATAACATGTTTTTTGTTCAGAACACAGAAAAATGATTTTTCTGGATAGTAACAACTTTCGACGTCAAAGGGTGATGAGCATTATTAGACTTAACATATGCAGTTGGGTCATGAGTGTAACCTACCGTTTTAGTTTTGAATAAGACAGAAAAATACTTTCTTATCTCATTTCCGTCCATAATGCAAGGAATATTTTAAGATTTTATGTTACATTTGATGACGGAATACCTGTCTGTGCAACTGGAGTTCTGGAGATAATGAAGTTTGTCGGAGATAATGAATATCGATTCTGAGATACAGAAATGGATAATGAAACTCTTATCAAAACTATTACATTTTATAATGCTTCTCATCGTTTCGAAAATCTGAAAACATACATTATGCACCAGGATGTAAATGACGCAGCATTTTTTTCTCTGCATAAAGTCGAAAAAAGAACTCTTTTGAGTGAGAAATAAAAAATTTAAAAAAAAGAAAAGAATTCAAGCATTTATCAGTCATTATTTTAAATTTCCAATTAACTCTGGCACGTAGTAATTCCATAGTAGTTGTTGAATAAAAAGTTAAAATTTCTATAACAATGGATATTTTTTTTTTGTAGTTGCTTATAGTAGAATTTCCAAAAGGTAAATGGAAAAAAATTTGTATTTTGTTTGGACCCCGATTTAACGAACAAAATGTTCGGTCCCGATCAATTCGTTAAATCGGGGTTCGATTGCATTAATTTAGGGTTGCTGTGTATTTGATTTCTTTCGAGGTAGGATTCAAAAGTTCCCGGACTGAGCCTGTAATCTGAAATTATTTGCAGTAGCGACTACGATAACGTTTTTATGTCTCTGCATTTTCCCCCTTATCTAAAAAAGTTTGTCCCAAATCACATGGTCTGTGGCTTGCCACGGCGTCGTATTTTGTAGGTAGATCAGCGTTTCTCAAATTGTGGGACGCGACCCTCTAGGGGGGCGAAATAACCCTAAAGGGGGGGGGGCAAGAACATATACAAAAAATTCAAATATAAAAAAATTATTAAAAATAATTATTAATTTACTATATAAAAGTAAACAAACAAAATAAATTCTGACATAATAAAAAATAAAATGCACAGTTACATTGATATAATACACTTACTCGTAGAAACATATTAGCACTGCGCAATGTATTTTATAATTAATTTAACAATACTAAATTAAGAACAACATTAATAATTATCAATGACCCCATGAACTTGTCATATACAGTGGGTGATCGGTTAACGAACACTTTCACGAAAGAATTTTGTGTTCGGATATAACGAACACTTTCAAGAAAGATTTTTTTGTGTTTGGACAACGAACACATACTCGGAGGTGATCAGGGATACACTCCTGAAATTATGGATGAAATTTTGACAACTGCTAGAGATCTGGAATTGGAGGTGAACGAGGATGACATAGAAGAGCTCATAATGGGACATGAAGATGAACTGACGACAGAAGAACTCCGAGAAATTTTGAATGAAGAACACCAAGAAACACAGGTAAATGTGTCTCTTTCTGAACAAGCGTAAGGCTAAAGAGGACCAATGTCGATATCTGCCACTAAAGGTCTTTTGAAAAAGTGGGCGGATGTCAGAGCAATTGTCTTAGAATGGCACCCAAACCAAGCTGATGCCAGTAGGTTTGGGGATCTTTACAACGACAATGCTATTAATTACTTCTGGAAAATCCTGAAAAAGAGAGAAAAACAATCGACATTGGACATGTTCTTCAACGCCCCCTAAGCAAAAATGAAAAAGACTGATTAATATGCAAGACTATATGTATGTATTATTTTCAAAAAACTTACTAAGAAATGACAAATTTTTTAAAATTTAATTTTTAGAGTCTCCAGAACGAAATAATCGATTTCACACAGAAGTCTATGGTGAATCGATGATCGGTTAACGAACAATTCGGATAGAGAACCTAGTCTTGGAACGGATTATGTTCGTTAACCGATCACCCACTTCACGATCACCGATCATCATTTTCAAATTATATGTGAAAATTAACATGTATCTTAATCATTTGTGTGTGTGTGTACGGTTTACAATTAACTCCTTAACTGCCGATTAAAAATTACGTGATTCGCTTCCCAATTCCACCGTTTTCAACGTTGGCGCGCTTTTGTGAAGTATTGGGGGAGGAAAGGAATAAATAAGCAAATCCTCTGTGCAACCACTGTTAAGGTCCTTTTATTGCATTACAAAGCCTTTCGAATAATTTTATCGATAGCAATGCCCAGAAACCATCGTACTTCAGAAAGACGTTTATACGCTTTGGCTGAGTGGGACGTTCATTAACGCCAATGGCACTTATGATGTTAAAGGCGTATCGTAGCCTTAGCGTCAAAATATAGTATTATTAAATTGAATACATTGTTATTGTGGGAAGGGGGGCTTGATGAAAATTATGACTGAAAATTGGGTCGCAAATATTGAAACTTTGAGAAGCACTGAGGTAGATGCATTGTAGTCGGTGATTGAAAGAGATTGCTTTTGTTGAGCAGAGAATAATAACAAATTTTGTGTTGGTCTGGGGGGAAAAAAGGCTGCGGAGACTTTCAAAATGTTGAAGAATGTTTAAGGCAATGATACATAATTGTGAATGCAAGATTTTGAGTGGCATCGAGGTTTCAGACAAGGCAGGGAAAGTGTCAAAGACGATGAACGTTCTGAACTTCCCACAACGCTGAAAATATTGAAAAGGTTTCTGCAGCGGTAGGTTAAAACAGACTTCACTCAACGAAGGGTTGAAAATGAAAATAATTGTTTTGCCACATCCTTCTTGCTCCCAGATTTCGCTGCCTGAAAATTCAGAATATTCCTTGAGCTGGCACGTCACTTTCAGGGTCGTCAATTTCAATCTGCAGATGAAATTAAAAGCGCACCGCGGGCTGAATTAAAGGACATGGCGAAAAATGATTTCCAGAAATGATTCGATGAACTTAAGCTACGGCAAAAGTGTGCTGTTTCTCAAGAGTCTTATTTTAAAGGAAGATGCTCTTCAGCAACTTAAACTGGTAATATTTTTTTTTTTCAACTCCTACTATTAGTTCACAATCTCCCTATACCTTGTTCAAATTTTCAATCATTAATAAAATACATCTTAAAACGCTCAGCTGAGCTGAAATTTTACATACACGACTATTTTGAATAGCAATTCGTTAATTTAATTATAATTAAAAATTAATTGATAAAAACTAATTATTCTTAGAATCATAGGTACAGTGACGTTAAATTCATATTTATTGACTTGTGTCAAAACTTAAAAAGTTTTTTTTTTACGTTTTAGGGCATTCAGTTGAACTGAAATTTTATATACACAATTGTTTTGGATGGCAATACGATACTTTAATGATGATTAATAAAAATTATTTGCCACTTGATATTGTTATTCTGTCATACGTATATACATATTTATATTAATTGTAATTATTTGATAAAAAATAATTAAATTAAAATTTTTCTTTGTTGAGATCTATGTAGGAATTGACTTAAAAAAGTTTTCTTTTAATATTACTTGTTAAGT